TTACTACATAAAGAACAAAATAAAACTCTTACAGCAGAAAATAAAACCCATACTTCACAAGTTTAAAACTAAAGATCCTAAAAGTTTAAGAAGAAGACACTATTTAACTCACTTGTATTTTCAGGCTCACTGATGACTTTGGAATGCCATTCAAAAAGATACGGCTCTGGTTAATGTATAAAGTTAATGGCTATAGTTAAATGTGACCAAAAAGCCAGTATCTGTCTCTCAATTTGAATTTAATAAATAAAATGATAAATTACTTAGCATCAGGGCTGAAATTCCATCAGGAAACACGTACCATGGAACTAAAGCAACAGCTGAAAGCCAAGAAAAAAAGTATTATTTTAGAGGGAAAAAAATGACCTCAGTACATTAAGGGAAGCAAAGTGTTGCCTCTAAATGACTGGTGATCAACGTGACATTGGGTCTTACTTTGACATCACAATGATAGACAAGGTCAGACACATCCAGAATTTCAATATTGCAAAAGGCATCCAATCTATAAATTACAAATCTCCAGGTCCTAGTTTCAGCATGTCAGTCCTATAAAAACTATATTAAGTGGAACAATGTGGGTTCTCTAGCTGAAACCATGGCGTTTATCTCAATTTTATTTTTTAAGTATGAAGTAAACAGCTCTACATAGTTTAGATGACAAAAGATAAACATGCTCACATATAAACCCAAGATATTTGTGCTGTTTAAAAGCAAAACTTAGAGAAAAGCATACGGTAGTGTTTTCTGTTTTATAAAGCATTTTCATTCAACAAAATTATTCCCACTCGTCCCAGAAATATAAGTGAATGAAAGTAAATGAATGAATCATCGGAAGTCAGTCTCATCTTTAAAACAACTTCTAAAAATATTATTTAAAATATTTACCTGGAAAAATTCTAGGTACATTTACAACATCGAAATCAAAATATGAGACAAATAAGAAAAACAAAGTTACATGTTTTCATTCCCAAGTGACCTAACAACGCTAACGGATTTATCACAATAAGCACCAATACTCACACATCCCCCCACCCTTCTTTCATTCTTAGCCTTACATATATTTACATCTCAACAGTTTATGCTGAAAGTTTACCTTTGACACAAATCCTCTGAATTCTGAAGCTCTTGGGTTATCACATAAGTCAGTTTCAAAAAGCCTTAGAGACAAATTGAATATTAAAAACAAAAATCTGTAGGTTATTTACTAAACTGTTTCATTCTACCGTGGAAAAAAAGTTCAGCCTATATGAAGATAAATACCTAATTACTTGTCTTGAATCTAACAGACTATGCCCTTTGAAACATGAACTTTATATTCAAAAGTCTAAGCCACAGTCAGCCCAGTTAGTTACGATGCTGTCCCTGTGACTATTGCCTGTCACCATAAACAGCCAGTTTTCTCAACAGAAATACCCTCTTCCCATGAGGAAGAAAGCAAAAACTAAGAAATTCATAGTAAGGGTTAGATTTGTTAAAAATAAAGACCTGCTAAAACACATCGACGCTCAGCTTTTCAAGTAAAACGATGGGTAAACTCTTCTACCCTCACTTCATTTTTACTTTAAGATGGTCCATGAAAATGACACTTTTTTGTCCAGACTAACCCTGAAAACTATGGAGCTAGACTTGTGGCTAAAGAATACCTGAAACCAGATATGCAAATATGTTAAAGATACGCAATTTTGATTCTTTGACAGAAACTGCACAACCTGGCAGAACTCAGAGAGCATCTAGCTCAACCTACTCACTCTACAATGAAGAAACTGGCTGGCAGTGAACAGGGGCTCACACCTGTAATCCTAGCACTCTGGGAAGCCAAGGTGGCTGGATCCCTTGAGCTCAGCAGTTCCAGACCAGCCTGGGCAAGAGGGAAACCCTATCTCTACTAAAAATAGAAAAATCAGCCAGGCATGGTGGTAGGAGCCTGTAGTCCCAGCTATTCAGGGAGGCTGAGGCAGGAGGATCACAGGAGCCCAAAAGTTTGAGGTTGCTATGAGCCATGAGGTCATAGCACTCTACCCAGGGTGACAGAGTGAGACTGTCTCAAAAAATAAAATATAAAATAAAAATAAAATAAAATGAAGAAACTGAGGCACAGAGCAGTTGTGACTCACCGAAGGTCACAGTTTGTCTGTCTTCAAGCTGACAGGGCAAATTCAATACACATGACACAACTAAGTCCAGCATCCATTCTGCGGGCTTTATATTTAGCTTTGTTATAATTTACTTTACGATTTGGCACTCAGACAATTCATTCACTGGAAATTATTAACAGATGACTCTCATCTCCACTCTCACAGAATGCCCTGAAACTGAAATAAAGACAACACACACCTCACAGCCATTCCTCACTTATCAGATTAAAAAATTAATCTGGGTGAGAATCACTTTTCTTACTAGAATAGGATACTCCTTCCTCAGAATAACATCACGTAAGGCTAATACAAATAACATACTATCCTCTTTCTTCATTAACTTCCAAAGGGTGTACAGAATAGAACGGCAGTTCTCAACTTGTGGGTCTCAGCCTGCTTTTTCATTCTTCAAAAGTAGTCGGGATCCCAGTGTTTATGTGAGTTAAAGCGCTTGGTAGCTGCCATATTAAAAGCTAACTGTGGTATTAAGTTAGTTCAAATTAGAAATTAAAATATTTTAAATCATTTGAAAATAGTAAGTCATGACATGTTAAACACATGGTTATGAAAAATATATATATTTCCCTAAATAAGAAAACTTTGGCGAGAGAGTGGCACTCTATTATATTTTTTGCAAGTTGACTGTCTCACTTAATAGAAGACAGCAGATTTTCCTATCTACTTCTGCATTCAGTGTGCAGTGCTGTGTTTCGCTTGGAGTACATGAAGACAATTACTCACAAAGAATACACATAAAGGATTTTGGATCGTATACTTAAGAGGAGACACAACCCCCCCACTGCCCACAAATGCATCAAATGCCATGGTCACTGATTCACATGACCGGATCTGAGGCTATGGACAAATCACTGGGCCATCAAACAAGATTTCATAAATTGAGCATGAAAACTACAAAATAGGATATAGAACAATCTAAGAGAGAATTAATGATTCTAGCTACTGTAACTCTAATATTTCTACCAGAATTATTATCCAAAGCAACAGTTTTCAAAACAAGAGCATAAACTGAAGTGTAGTGGCAAAGGTATAGTGCCTAACCATTAAGGGGAAAAAGATCAGTTTAATTATGAAAAATGATCGAGTACTTATTTCAATATTTAAATGTTTAAAAAAATTGTGGAATTTCATAGAAGGAAAGAAGAGGAAAACAAAAAAGCAGAAACTAAAAATTGAAACCATTTAGTAGCTAGAATGCATACTAACATAACAGGAGACACTGAGGTACTTCTCCTGAATTAACTCCTCTAAATCGTCTTAACTACCTTTGAGATGGAAACTATTCAATTCCTTTATACATTTGAGAAAACTAAAGCCCAGAGAGAGAAGGAAGGAGAGGGACCCAGGGGCTTTGTAGCAATTACTTAGCAGACCTGAGATTTCAACCAGTCATGCTACTGACTCCCAGGCTATATACTAATTCACGAAAAACATCAGTTATAAAAATATCCACATTACACGCACAAATTTCCTTCCCTATAAGGAAAACAAAGCATGTGCCATAAAGCGCATGCTGAGTTTGCTTCTGGTGGCAGCCCTGCTATCTCATGATTCCTGCTGGAGTTGAGAATTTCAGAATTCATTCTATTCATTAAAATAGGATTGAAGAACTCACATTATCGGGAACTTTATGGAATATTTGCTCCCACAAAAGAAAGGAAAGCAAGGTTAGAGTCGATGAAAATGAAAAGAATGCAGACAATAAGGTTTTTAATTAAGGTTTTGCTTTTGGTTTGGGAAAAAACAAAAAACAAAAACAGAATAAGACAAAGATTCAGGAACACAGGCAAGGCCTATATCCTGTTAATGGGATGGGTGGGATGGACACATTTCTCCTAAAATAAATTTTTAAGGAAATAAGGAAAAATAGCCACACATTGCTAGATGCTAAGAGAATAAACTATATCTACAAAATCCATTCTCTATTTCATAAAGGGATCATTTATCACAACCATGTAATAAAAACAGTACTGAAGCAAAGTCCAATGCAAGTATTCACTGTATAACTTAGAACCACCCTTTAACGTCATATCTAAAACCTCTTCCTTGTCTTTTTCTAAATATATACAACACGCTCTCTGCAACGAGAAAAGCCAGAGATATTTTATAGTAAAGTATGCCTTCTTGCAGATTTGAAATGTTATAAATACCCCAAGTCAAAACTGCTGTGACATATCTCACTTCCAATATGAATAAGAAAGTGAGACTGTCCACTTAGTAATTTTAGATGTGCTGAGTCTTTAAAAGCCCTCAGTTAAGGAAATGATTTATTTGTACTGAAAACCACAACTTTCATATAATTAACCTACCTACAAAAGGGCAGGAGGGAGGGAAGCTTGTGGGTAACAGATTTGGAATCCAATTTTATTTTTCACAAACCCATGAAGTGATTAATAAAGCTAAGATAAAAAAGACTAAGACCACAAATAAACTAATTTAAAGCAATTTTAGTGAACCAGGAAACAGTTTAAAGGAAAAAAAAAAATCTAACACTAGTCTGCTAAAGTAAGTACAGTAACTGACAGGAAAAAAAAATAAACATATTCCGAACACCGAAAATAGGCAATGAGAATTGGGGGGAGATAACTATATATATATATGTATGTGCCCCTTCCAAGTCAACACAGATATTTGCTGGGAGATTTTAATAATCTCTTGTTCTCCTACTTCAAAAAAGATGTAATGTTACATCAAGCAAAGGGAGGAGCATTAAATGACCAGCCTTAAAGCCAAAATAAAACAGTTGACTGAAATGTGTTTTAAATGTAGCAACTGTTAAAGATAACGCTTGCCTTCAGCATTTCACAGAGCCATGATTTTCCAAAAGAAGAGAAGAACCCAACTTACCTTGATACGCTTTCTGGAATGTATTCTAAGACCGGATATCCATCACTTCTTCTAGATGACAGATCACCGTGTGATTTCCAGGACTCCACTAAAGTATTGACAGGAGGAAAGGAACTCAGGTGTTGGAAAGATTGGTCTCTAGCTGATCGTGACAGAGATATTGTACCTTGAGCACCAATCCTGTAGTGAAAGGACTGCCCACCTGAATTCACACCAACAATGGCAGAGGAAGGGATGCTGGCCTCGGGGTAATAGCTCCCATCATCCGGTTCCTGTTTAATCCCCATTGGGAATCCACTGCCTTCACAGTTACCATCAAAGCCGGGCACAGGTGGTCCTAAAATTCCTGATAGAGAATAATAATCTTTATCATCCATAAAGGAAAAATATGAGCCATCCATAAATGGAAACGGGTTCACTGTTGGATTCCCTTTAAACGAGGCGCCTGAACATGAATGCTTGGTTGACTCTTGTTTTATTGGGACTGAGAAAGGGGAATCAGAGTGTATTTTGCTATTTCCTCCTAGACATGAGCTGCTAAAAGCTCCGTCTGGTTCTGGTTTTATGTACTGGACAATGTCAAGTTGGCCAGTCACACCATTTGAGATGGCACTCTCTACTTCCTCAGTCTTAGGAAAGGGGACCTCCTGAGCACCTTTCTCGTGTGTGTCCGGACTGGGAACCACATCCCGGCTCACGCTGGATCCAGCAGAGGTGCCAGAAGCAGCATAGCTGAAGGCATTGTTTACAGGGCTACAGATAGATCCCACAGTACTGGCTGCCGGGCTGGAAAGCGTGGATCTGTTGTTGGTGTTGGATGGGCTGGAAACAGAGCACCTTGAGTTGTTGATGTTTGCAGGGCTAGACACGGAGGATCTCAGAGTGACGTTATTAGGACTGGAGACTGGAGATTTTACGCTGCAGTGACTCGGAGGGCTGGAAATGGGGGATTTCATGCTACTTAATGGACTTGAGAGCGGAGAGCCGACGTTGCTAGCGTGTGCGGGGCTGTGTGACCTGGAGCCTCGATTTTCAACATTAGGGGAACATGTCAGAGGAGTCCCCTGGGTGACAGGGCTGTGCGCTGGAAAACTGCCAAAGCTGGCTGTGGTGGAGGACACGGAGTTGATGCCAGCAGGGCTGCAGACCGAAGATGTCATGTTCAGAGGGCTGCAAACAGACGGGCTTTTCTCATGACACATGATAGGGCTTTTAACCAAGGCGCGCATCACCCCACCATTCACGGAGCTCCCAGAGTCAGACATGAATGATCTCAAGGGCCTGTTCACACTACTCAGACTGGAAGGACGATGACCGTTCTCTTTGTAGAATTTCACCAGCTGTTCGACGTTTTGATAAATCTTAGCTGGACTCATGCTTCCTTGTTGGTTCTGCGGATCGTAGGGGTAGTCAGCATCTCTTACGGAATCCATGTACAAACCCATGGACTCAGCTACAGTTGCTGAAAGTTCCTTAGATTCCAGCTCAGTTTTAATGTCAGATGTTAAAATCCCAGACCGATTACTGTCTTGCTGAAGGCAAGGGAGTAGTTCGTGTTTTTCTTTGCTGCTCCCTTGCATACTGTTGTTTGGAATAGCACCGGAAACACAGCTTACATTGACAATCTCCATGTAGTTATTCTCATTGGTCTTCTCTGTAGGCCCCAGAGAAGAATGCTCCATGGTCTGAGAAACTTGACCCCACCGTCTTTCCATATCTAGACCTTCAGGGAGATTGTGGTAGCCTTTGGTCTCCATAACTAACAAATAAATTTATATTAAAAATTAGAGTCAGTTATAGCAATATTACTCTAAAAGACATTTACAAGTTCTAAATTGTATTTGCTAAGCCGAAAAGCATTTTACCTATTATAAGCAGCATCTCTAGTTAAATTAAAATGGTTACCTTCTCATATGCACAGGTCCAGATGCCAGAGTAAGAGAAACAATGATATAAAACTGTTCTGTAGCTAACTGAAAGTAATACGCTTGCTACAACACAACCTTTAGAATTTGCAAAGAATAATTACAGATGCTGACTTACTTAATATCTAAAGTAATCTTGGGAATTGATGAGGCAGGCAAAGGAGGAAACTGAAAACTTTAGGGAGGTGGGTGATTTGTTCAAAGTCAAAGACACAGTAAGCAACAGAAGTGGGTTTTAAAACTAAATCTTCTGACTTCAGAGCCTCTGGAGTCTTCCCAGCACATGGAAGCTGCCATCCATAGCTAACACACAGCCTTCTTAAAAACAATACAGGAGTGTACATGAAGTTACCATTTCCAAAAATAAACTTACCAGATGAATTATCACAGGAAAAATACTTAGTGAATTATTTTAAAAATAATAAGACTTTCTTCAGATAAGATTAATGATGAAGATAATTTAATGTCTCTACGAAGTAAGGATTTATATATCCTGCTGCGGGTGGCCCACAACTGAGAGGGACTGTGTGATGACTCAGGGATGTCAGGATTCTTCCCTGTATTGCAATCCTGGCAAGGACTTTGACGTGCACACTGAATTAATGGTATCTTTGCCAAAAGGACTCCCGACAACCGGACATTTTTATTCAACAGCAAATGAAGTTTGAGAGGGGCGTGGAAATTCAAGTATGCATTCATTCAACAATATTTACCAAGTGCTTGCTGTATCTGGGCCTAAGACAGGTCACTGAATCTGTAGGAATAAACAGAACAGGCACAGTCCCCATTCTCAAGGAGTCTATAAGATTGTTCTATATACTATATAAGCATAGCCATTAGTTCTATAGATGAAATTTATTACATGGACAGAATAATTATGCAATAATGCTTACACGTTATATAATTCATTGCTGTATTACAAGCCTTTTGCATATATTATTAACTCATTTATCTTTATAAACAACCCTATATGACTGGTAAAAGTATTACTTAAGTAATACTAAGTGAGGAAACAGAGGCACTGGCCACACAGCTTTGTGTCACAGGGGACTTTAGCCCCAGAGGTCTCTCTACACCAGGGCACTTAACTGTGACACTACTGATACTTTGGCCCCAATAATTCTTAGTTGTGGAGGTCTACCCTACACGCTGAACCGTGTTCAGCAGCATCTCTGACCCCCTACCCACTACATGCCAGTAGCATTCCCCTCCTCAGTTGTGACAACCAAAAATGTCTCCAGATATTACCTAATGCTTTGGAGGGGCAAAACACCCCTGGTTGAGAGCCACCACTCTAAAGAAACATATCTTAAATGAAAGTAACTCATTTTCAGTAAAATTTATTTGTACATTTTAGCATTGTAAAACTCCTAAAATACGTATTTTTCTAAACTTTTCTTTTTTTTGAGACAGTCTCATTCTGTTACCCTAGGTAGAGTGCCTTAGCCTTATAGCTCACAGCAACCTCAAATCTTGGGCTCAAGCAATCCTCTTGCCTCAGCCTCCCAAATAGCTGGGGCTAAAGGCACCTGCCACAATGCCTGGCTAGTTTTTCTATTTTAAGTAGAGACAGGGTCTCACTCTTGCTCAGGCTGGTCTTGACCTCCTGAGCTCAAACAATCCACCTACCTTGGCCTCCCACAAGGCTAGGATTGCAGACGTGAGTCACCACGCTCAGCCATTTTTCTGAACTTTTCAAGTCAGGAAACAAGACCCAATAAAGGTCCGAATCTAAAAGATGCCATTTCTGCCATTCTGCACATGAGCAGGACCTTAGGACTCTCATCTCCCCCTCCCTTACTACTCACGACCTCAATTTTCACCACCTTCCTCTCACTTAAGGGAAAGAGACTAGGAAGTCCTTTTGCTACGTAACTTAGATTATGTAACAGTGAGAAATAAAATAATGGCTCTACTAAATCAATTGGCACTAGATAGCACAAGACTTGATAATGAAAGTTAATGCCCTGATGGTCCAAGTATTTTCTTACCCTTTACCTTTCTGTATTTTACATTAGATTTTTAAGTTCTGAGAAGGCAAAAACTATTAATTTCACTACTTTATCCCAAATGGACAGCATATCACAATTGAAAATTTTTAAACTAGTATAATAATATAATCAATACTCAATTTGTGAACATTAAAATCTACCAATTATGTAGACTACCTTTGCTTAAAAGACATTAACCTATGAATTCCTTATCAAAAATCAATCATAAAACTGGAGAAAATAAATCAATGCTGCGGTTGAAGGGCTTATCTGTTTATTGCAGGCAAAAAATTTAGTGTGGATGAAAGTCAAGTAATAGTTGGAAGAAAAAAGAATGGAAAAAAAAAAACCTACCCAGGGAATTGGGACCTAAATGGCAAATATTGGCCTCTTCTATTTCACTAAAAACCATTCGCTTATAGTTTATGGATTAAAATATGTCAGTAGATATTATGCGCAGCTTCTACTTGTACCTAAGAATATTCTGTCCTCTCCATATCAAAGATGAATGAATATGTAGCTGAGATATAAATGGTCAGGTCCAAATTCATTAAACACCACAGGGAACATGCCTGCTCATTCTTAAAACAGAACACCTTCTGTGCCTATCACCCCACAAAGACCCAAACTCACATTTCCTCTCTTGGCCCATTGCACAGACATCTACCCAAATGCCGGCAAGTGACTCCTGCTCCGTCTCCTTACCGAGGAGAGGCTTCCCTCCATTGGCACACTCTTCTTGATTCACAGGGCTATGGTCTCACTTCCTCTCTTTTACCAGGGCTACAGAGCTCTCCCTTTGAGTCTGAAGGGGAAAAATCACCCACATCCTTACTCAAACAATCTATCCTCCAAATTACCTCTTGGGAATAGTGATTACTCATTACTTCTGTGAAGTTTCACAGTGTAAATATACGTGCTAAAACTACCTCCGAGTGCAGAAACCAGTTTACTTTTAATCCAGCATACCCTAAATAATTTGGCCGCTGCACCCTTTTTTCACAGAACACCTGCTAAGATGCTGAGGGTCACTGTTCAGCACTCTGCCCTTACGTATGAACCATATCCCAGCTCCGTGAGGCTATTTGAAGACTAGATGAAGAAAACTGACAGGGAGGTGGTGGATACCAAAGACAATCTGAAAGCTCCCTACAAGGAAACACCTTATCAGGAACAGCATACAGCTGATCACAACTTTCCAAGTCCTGTTTGACCAGCCTGCAAACTCTCTTAACATAAAACAGCCAGTATCTCACCACATTATTGACAGGCTATCATTAATTTGCAAAACGCTTTGCTGAAATCTAAATCAGCTTTGTTTAAAGTATCGTCAATCTAAGGCACCTTTCTCCACAGAGGAAATAAAGGCGGGCAACAAACAAAAGAACAGAGAGGACAAATACTTAGCATCTTCTTGACTTCCACTGCAAACATATTTCTAACATCGGATTTTTAAAAATTGTATTATGAAATAGTTTATGTTAAATTCTCCCTATTATTTTTAATTGGTCTTTTCTGTGAACAAATGGATCCGATTAGGAACTTATTTCCCATGTTGACCCGGACATCAAGGTTATCTTCTCAGAACTGGTACAATGACCACAGCGTAAGCAGGATTTTGATCAACCTAAATCTACTAGTGAATAGTGGAATTGCTACTTTATGAAGATGATCCTCATAGAACTTAATATCCTGAGGGTAAAGGGAAAGTTTTGTTACTAAAGTATAAAGTCAAACAGGTAGTGGTATACAAATCTAGCTAAGGTAAAATCAGCTTGTATGCCTCACAAGGGAAACTATATCCAGGGATTATCTTGGGACAAAGGCAAAAATCATTATGAACTTTTAATTTTCATGCAAATGGCTTCCAACTAAAATATGAAGGAAATTCACAAGAGTACAGAAATGCAGGGATTGGGGTACTACTTTTACTCATATGTAGGCTCTCAAACACTCTTTTTACAAAGGAAAACCTAACTTTAAAATTTCATGTTTTACAATCTGCGCTAAATCGCCCTTTTCCATAAGGAAGTAGCCTTTTAAAAAAGAAAATTAACAAACATCCTCACAAATCTGTATTTTATCTGAAAACACTTTCACTTTTAATATCCCCCCCAAACATGGTCTCACTTTAAAGGCATCATTTTCTAGTTATTTCACTATCACAGGGCACTTTAAACACTAAGGCTAAAGAATTTCACAATCATCTTTAGGCTCCATAGTGGTAAAAGTTCACCGTAGGTGACGGGTTTGTCATTCCCCACTACAGAACTATTATGTTTTCCTGTTATAGATGGGGTAAATGATAGAAATCTGCCCAAGGTCACCTAGGAGAGCAGGAAAACCAGTTAGAACTGAGCACACCTGATTTCTATTCACTCACCCAATTTACTGAGCCACCTGACCTTTCCAAAAATCCCCAAACAAAACTGTCTCCCTTAAAGGAAAAAGCTCCACTTTTGATTGTTTAAAACTTCTCTCCTCAAGCACATCCAAGATAGGATGTCATGATGTCAAACATGAAATTAAAACTTCACAGCAGGACTTTACAGATAGAGAATGCTGTTATCATTACCATGTAAATATCAGCAATAACAGCAGCTAGAAAAAATGGCAATAGAAAATGCTAAGTAGCAATTTGGTGCATTTAAAATTCGGCGGTTTTGAAAGCTGGTCTAGTAACAAAAGTTTTCCTAACTCCTATGTTATAATAAGTAATGGTGCCATAAGCCATTATGCTTTAAATCTGGTCTTTTTAAATTCGGTAGGTAAAGCCACGCACCTAAAATTCAGTAGTAGGATAAGGATGCCACCAAAAGAAGCTTCATCGCTTGCTTCTCCCATGCCCTTAGAATTCTAACTGATGCCATGGGAAGCGCAGCCTCTCTCCAGAGTTTCGCGAATACTAGGGAACGTTAAGTGCACGAATTTCCAGAGCCCCTTTTATACGGGATCTACTAGGATCTATATCTCCTTCAACTGCCCTTTTCCGCTACACCTCCAGCTGAGATTTGGAAGCTTCCGCAATTGATAGAGGAAAGAAATAATATTCAGACGTCCTTTTAAAATTGTACAAGGAAAGCGATCCAAAATTCATCTCTGGGGAAAGGGAAGGGTGGTAGACCTCCCACTGCCAAAGGCAGTTAAAAGCAGCTCTTCAGAGGGCATTTATCCAAAGTGGCCAAACTTTCCCAAAATAGTCCTCTGGCGGCCAAAGAAGGGGGGGAGGAAAGTGGAAAACCAAAACAAAACAACAAGCACACAGCACCATACTGCCTGTGCCTCCGGATTACGCAGCCACTTCTCCCTGCAAAGTGCACGCTCCCGCGCCTCGGCCGCACGCCGAGCAGGGCAAGCGGTGCCCCGCCGCGCACCCCTACACACCTGCCTCGGCCGGGGTCCGTCTCTCGCCGTCTACCTGTTGCAGCACTTGCCACCGCCACGACACCCCTGCTGCGGAGCCCCCCTAAATCCAACCACATCCAGGCCAGCAAGTGCCGCTCTCCCTGCAGCGGGAGAGCCCGAGGCAGCAACGCTCTTGCACCCAGGTGACTGCACGGGCTTCCTCTGAACAGCCTGAAGTTGGCTAGCGTCTCCCGGGCCCAATGACACCCCGGGCGCGGAGGGGCTGAGAGGAGGGGGCAGGGGCAGGGCCAGAGCGAGCAAAGAAAGGGAGGGAGAGAGGGCGGGCGAAAGCCCGGAGGGGGAGTGGGCCAGCTGGAGGGCCGGCCCTTTTAAAAACGGGTCACATGTCCAGATAAAGTTCAGGTTGCCCTAAGCCCTTCCCATTGGCCCGGAGGAAAGCAAGGCTCCGCGCCGCACGGGTCAGGCGGGCTTCTTATTGGACAATCCCGGCTGTCAGTCACCAGGCGGGCGACATGACTGATACAAAGTTGCTGCGACACAGCCTGGACTCGGCAGCTTCCTTAAAGCCGCAGCAGCGGCTAGCGCTTGGGGTGCTAGGCGGTGGCTACGACACCAGGTGCCTTATGCACGCTGCCCCCGCCTTTCCTCGCTCAACCGCCCGGTACTTGCTCACGCCCACCCTGCTCTGCTCCTCCGTGACCCCAGGATATCTGGAGAGGTGAAAAGTGTAGTGACGCGGAAGAAGTCTTGTCCGCGAGCAGGCAAGGTGTTGTCCCCTCACGCTCTCCACCTGCAGCTCTAGGTGGGCGGCAGCCCAGACCCCAACACTGCCCACCGGGTCCGCGCTCCGGGGGAGGCTCTCGGTGGGCTAAACTTGACCTCTGAGGTTCCTCTCCGCCCCTTTCCCCTGTCTCCGGAGTTACCTCTCAGCAGAGAAGCCGCAGCCTCTGCTGCCAACTAGCAAGAGGTTAGGTCCCCACTGGATTTGAATTTCCTCGTTTTAACCGTGCAGGAAAAGACCTTTAAACACAGTCTTCCTCCCACCCCATAACCCCCCAGCACCAAAGTAAATAAATAAAAATAATTTAAATAGAGTGCTAGGGTTAAGAACTGCTACTCTCCTTCCCTACAATTTTGTTACTGTACTTAGTACTTTAGCACTGGATTTTTCCACTAGTTCAATTTTTTAAAGAAAGCTTACCATCGAGGATATTCACTTTATAATAGGTGTTAGGGGGATATCATTAAGAGAAACATATAGGAGAGAGGAAGAATCAAACTGTTTTCTAAGGATCGGTGACTGCACGAAGAAATTTCGGTTTCCCTCCAACCACCCCCACCTCGATTCTCCTTCCGCCCACCTAAATGCTGCAGTTACTAACCAGAAGGATGGGTCTCTTAACTTTGATGTCTAAGGACTTTTTAGGCTCAGGGTATGAGGCTGGTTTCAAGCTCCGGGCTGGCCTGGAGTCAGGAGCAGTGACGTACACACCTAAATCTGGTCCCCCGGCCCTCGGCAACCCGCAGCCCGGCGGCCGCAGCTGTGCAGCCTTTCGCCTCACCCTCGCTCCGCTCCGCCAAGCCCTGGGGTGGCAGGAAGGAGGGACGCCCGGTGCCCAAAGGCCCCTCCTCTTCTTACAGTTAGTTAAGCTTCGGGATTCCCGACCCCGAACCTAGGGAAAGTCGAACTCTCAGCCGCTCCAGTAGGGAACTCCCGGCGATAGGGGCTATAGGGGCGACAGCGGCGGTGCGGACAAGCTGGTCCCGACTACCGACTCCAGTCTTCCACGGGCGCGGAGCGGGCCCCGGCGTCCCCGCCGCCAGGAGTCTCCGCCGAGTGCCCCAACTTTCCCGCGGGGCTCGCCGTCATGCGCACTCGCCCAGCCGGGCCAGCAATCGGGCATCGATCGCACCCCAGCCGAGCGCGGGCGGCAGGAGGAGCAGGGGGAGTCCCGGACCCAGCGCGCGTGTACACGCGGCGGCGGCTCAGCTAGCGCTGCCGAATTATTCATTATTAAAGGAATGGACGTGTCTCTTTTACTAAGTTTTTACCTCCTTTGGGGAGGGACGGTCTTGCCCTGGATCTTAGCTTCTTGCAAAATCTAGGTTAGAACCGCGCAGGGGCAGCCGCCGCGGTCGCCCTCCCGTCCCCCGGCACCCCTGCCCCGCGGCAGCCCAGCGGGCACCTCTACTCCTGCCGACAGCCCTCCTCGGTACCCTCAGCGCGGAATCTGCCTTCCCCAGGGCCGCCCCTGCACTCTCCGAGCCCCCTCTCACCGCTGTCAGCGCAAAGTGACTGTCGCTGCACTCACCTTTTCTAGGACATGGTGGGGAGGCTAGGGCGGGGGGAGGAGACAGCGAGACTCCCGCCGCCGCCGCCGCTGCCGCTGCCGCCGCCACCAGCGAGACCAGTATTAGCTGATCAGCGGTGAGGATGGAGAAGATGATAATCCTGGCAGTCGCCCTACTGACGGTGGGTAGAGCAATAGAGCAATAGTGTTAGCCCGCAGGAGGCGGCGAGGCAGAGGCGCCAAATCGCCCGGAGGGGGCCGCAGGCACCCGTCCGCCCCCAGCAGCGGCCTGGCCTCAGGCGGGCCCCTCTCCCGCTGCACTGGCCCGCCCGGCGTTGTCGACCGTGGTCCCGGGAGCAGGGAAGTCCGGCGGGATGATCCCGCGCCGGCCGCCCCGCAGCGCCGCTCTCCGCGCCCCCTCCCCCGGCGGGGTAGCCGGTGACAGCTCAGTCGGCCGAGCGTGTGTGCGAGGGGGTGGCCTCAGGGGGAGCCCGCTGCGCTGCGGCCCCCTCTCCGGGTCACACCCTCTCTAGCAAGAGGAGGCGGCACGGCGTCTAGACACGCGCCGGTGGGAAACAGGGATGGGGTGCCCGTGGCCGCCCTCCCACCCGGGCCACTGACAGCAAGGAAGCCCAAGGAAAACGGAACCCAAATGCACGCACCCCTCCAGCCCGCACTCAAAGTCCCGCCCTGACCTCGCGCCGGCCTCAGGTGCAGCTCCCACCCGCGAGGGGGGAGAGGATCGGGGACCACGCGGAGGGGGCGGGAGGGAAAAGTTTCTTCTCCAGCTCCCCGGCTGCCCACCCCGTGAGGCTGCGCCTCTCCCCGCCTCTCGCCCGCTCGCCGCGCCTCTGCCCCACCCCCACCGGAGGGGGCGCGAGGAGGGCCCGGGAGTCGGTGCGCGGGGGCGTGTAGGGAGAGTGGTGAGGAGCGGCGGCCGTGACCGGTGCCCTCGCTCTGACGGCGGCTCAGACTCCAGCTGCCGCGGCTCGCTCGGCTGGGCGAGCCCGGGAAGGGGCCGAGCGCCAGGACCCCTCCCCCGCCGCGCTCCCCGCGCCGCGCGCCCCCGCGTCGCTTCGCGCGCCCCCGCGCCCTCGCGCCAGCCGGGGCTG